GATTTTAATGGAGAACCCCACTTAAAAAGCAAAGAAAAGAGCAGGGGGGCCCCATAGAATCCATACCAGACCCTAAAACAAGCATGAAGCCTGGTAGGCCAGGAAAAGCGTGTGTGTTGGGGGGATAAAGCGCATGCAGAACCCCCCCCCCCCTTCTCACCCATACTGTACCTCAACATAAGGAAGTACCTTGCCAGAGGGGACACCCCTGCCAAAGCACCCTGTATCCATATTGCTGAGGACAAGGGTCTCTTCTCCACAACCCTGGCCTAGTGGTTGTGAGTGTCTGTAGGCAGGACACGTAGACAAGAGCCTCTTCCCCACAACCCTGGCCTGATGGTTGTGAGGGTCTGCAGGTATAGGACTTAGACAAGGGCCTCTTCCCCACAACCCTGGCCTGGTGGTTGTGAGGGTCTGTAGGCAGGGGACTTAGACAAGGGCCTCTTCCCCACAACCCTGACCTGATGGTTGTGAGGGTCTGCAGGCAGGGGACTTAGACAAGGGTTTCTTTCCCACAACCCTGGCTTGATGGTTGTGAGGGTTTGCAGGTAGGGGACCTAGACAAGGGCCTCTTCCCCACAACCCTGACCTGATGGTTGTGAGGGTCTGCAGGCAGGGGACTTAGACAAGGGTTTCTTTCCCACAACCCTGGCCTGATGGTTGTGAGGGTCTGCAGGTAGGGGACCTAGACAAGGGCCTCTTCCCCACAACCCTGGCCTGGTGTGAGGGTTGTAGACAAGGGCCTCTTCCCCACAACCCTGCCTGATGATTGTGAGGGTCTGCAGGCAGGGGACTTAGACAAGGGTCCCACAAGCCTGATGGGGACTTAGGGGACCTAGACAAGGGCCTCTTCCCCACAACCCTAGCCTGATGATTGTGAGGGTCTGCAGGCAGGGGACTTAGACAAGGGCCTCTTCTACAACCCTGGCCTGGTGGTTGTGAGGATCTGCAGGTAGGGGACTTAGACAAGGGCCTCTTCCCCACAACCCGGGCCTGATGGTTGTGAGGATCTGCAGGCAGGGGACTTAGACAAGGGCCTCTTCTCCACAACCCTGGCCTGGTGGTTGTGAGGATCTGCAAGCAGGGGGGACTTAGACAAGGGCTTCTCCCCCACAACCCTGGCCTGATGGTTGTGAGGGCCTGCAGGCAGGGGACTTAGACAAGGGCCTCTTCCCCACAACCCGGGCCTGATGGTTGTGAGGATCTGCAGGCAGGGGACTTAGACAAGGGCCTCTTCTCCACAACCCTGGCCTGGTGGTTGTTGTGACTTAGACAAGGGCCTCTTCTCCACAACCCTGGCCTGGGGACTTAGCAAGCAGGGGGGACTTAGACAAGGGCCTCTTCTCCACAACCCTGGCCTGATGGTTGTGACGGCCTGCAGGCAGGGGACTTAGACAAGGGTTTCTTCCCCCACAACCCTGGCCTGTGGTTGTCGGCCTGCAGGCAGGGGACTTAGACAAGGGCCTCTTCCCCACAACCCTGGCCTGGTGGTTTTTAGCAACCACAGGGCCCCATACAGCCAACCTGATAGGGTCCTCCACCCCCCCAGAAAATACAGGTTACAATGCTTCAATTATGAATGCACACAGTGAGTATTTGTTTCCAATCACACCTTGTGTTCATTTAGGAAAGGAAGGTACTGGTAAATGTGACATATTTAATGGTCTGTGGGCAGGGAGCTTACCAGATGTAAATCCACCACCAATCACATTATTCAGCGATGCAGATCCAAGGCAATCACAATGAATAATGCCCACTAATCCTTTGAACCCTCTGAACATACAAAACACAAATCTACATTTTTGGAATGCATTTCAACATGCAGTATATATATATATATATATATACACACACACACACTGCATGTTGAATTGCGTTTTTTTTATAAATAAAAACATATCTGAAAAATATTTTTAAAAAATATATTTTTTTAAAATATATTCTTCTTCAGATTTCTTTTTTAACATATAAAAAAGTCATTTTATATATATATATATATTTGTAAATGCATTCCAAAAATGTAGATTCGTATTTTTAAAGACACACAGTATATTTGAAATGTATTTTTAAAAATATTTTTCATATACTTTGTAATAAAAACGCATTTCAACATACAGTATATATAGCAAATCCGCCTGGCAGTACTCGGGTCGTTGGTTCGAATCCCAACCATGGCATCACCTGCCTGGAGTTTGCATGTTCTCCCTGTGCCTGCGTGGGTTTCCTCCGGGTACTCTGGTTTCCTCCCACACTCCAAAGACATGCTGGGAGGTTAATTGGCTCCTGTCTAAATTGTCCCTAGTATGTGTATGTATGAATGTGAGTTAGGGACCTTAGATTGTACGCTCCTCGGGGGCGGGGACTGATGTGAATGTACAACACAGTACCTGAAATAAAAATAAATATATATATATATATATATACAGTGGGGCAAAAAAGTATTTAGTCCCCACCAATTGTACAAGTTCTCCCACTTACAAAGATGAGAGAGGCCTGTAATTGGCATCATAGGGAGACCTCAACTATGAGAGACAAAATGAGAAAACAAATCCAGACAATCACATTGGCTGATCTGGAAAGAATTTATTTGCAAATTATGGTGGAAAATAAGTATTTGGTGAATATGAAAAGTTCATGTCAATACTTTGTTATATATCCTTTGTTGGCAATGACAGAGGTCAGACGTTTCCTGGAAGTCTTCACAAGGTTGGCACACACTGTTGCTGGTATGTTGGCCCATCCTCCATGCAGATCTCCTCTAGAGCAGTGATGTTTTGGGGCTGTCGCTGGGCAACACGGACTTTCAACTCCCTCCAATGATTTTCTATGGGGTTGAGATCTGGAGACTGGCTAGGCCACTCCAGGACCTTGAAATGCTTCTTACGAAGCCACTCCTTCATTGCCCGGGCGGTATGTTTGGGATCATTGTCATGTTGGAAGACCCAGCCACGTTTCATCTTCAATGCCCTTGCTGATGGAAGGAGGTTTGCACTCCAAATCTCACGATACATGGCCCCATTCATTCTGTCCTGTACATGGATCAGTCGTCCTGGTCCCTTTGCGGAGAAACAGCCCCAAAGCATGATGTTGCCACCCCCATGCTTCACAGTAGGTATGGTGTTCTTTGGATGCAACTCCGCATTCTCTCTCCTCCAAACACGATGAGTTGTGTTTCTACCAAACAGTTCTATTTTGGTTTCATCTGACCATATGACATTCTCCCAATCCTCTTCTGGATCATCCAAATGCTCTCTAGCAAACTTCAGACGGGCCCGGACATGTACTGGCTTAAGCAGGGGGACACGTCTGGCACTGCAGGATCTGAGTCCCTGGCGGCGTAGTGTGTTACTGATGGTAGCCTTTGTTACGTTGGTCCCAACTCTCTGCAGGTCATTCACTAGGTCCCCCCGTGTAGTCCTGGGATTTTTGCTCACCGTTCTTGTGATCATTTTGACCCCACGGGGTGAGATCTTGCATGGAGCCCCAGATCGAGGGAGATAATCAGTGGTCTTGTATGTCTTCCATTTTCTAATTATTGCTCCCACTGTTGATTTGTTCACACCAAGCTGCTTGCCTATTGCAGATTCAGTCTTCCCAGCCTGGTGCAGGTCTACAATTTTGTTTCTGGCGTCCTTCGACAGCTCTTTGGTCTTCACCATAGTGGAGTTTGGAGTGTGACTGTTTGAGGTTGTGGACAGGTGTCTTTTATACTGATAACAAGTTCAAACAGGTGCCATTGATACAGGTAATGAGTGCAGGACAGAGGAGCCTCTTAAAGAAGAAGGTACAGGTCTGTGAGAGCCAGAAATCTTGCTTGTTTGTAGGTGACCAAATACTTATTTTCCACCATAATTTGCAAATAAATTCTTTCCAGATCAGCCAATGAGATTGTCTGGATTTGTTTTCTCATTTTGTGTCTCATAGTTGAGGTCTCCCTATGATGCCAATTACAGGCCTCTCTCATCTCTGTAAGTGGGAGAACTTGTACAATTGGTGGTGACTAAATATTTTTTTGCCCCACTGTATATATATATATTTTGAAATATATTGAATACGGCCAAAATTTTAGCATTTCAAATATATGGCAATATATTTGGGAAGAATATTTTTAAAATACATTTCAAATATATTTTTCTTCCATGTGGGTATAGAAATGAGTATTTTAGGCGGCGAGCCGTTCCAGGTGCGGGGAGCCGCGTAGCGGTTTACGTTCGTTTCTCTCGCAGAGGTACACTCGTTCTTTAACCACCGAACTTATTAAAAGCTCTTTTATGTAAAGCGACGCACAATTCATGTTTATTGGCCTTTTCAGGAGGCCTTGGCATGATTGAATTTTTTCGTAGTTTATGCCGCGTTATTGTTGCCTTGGCATTGAGCGCACATTAAGGAGCAAACATTCCACTTAAACAGCAGGCATTACGCTTCGGTCGGCGGGTCCGCTCGAGCGGCTGGTATGAAATAATACCGAACGCAGGGACCGGGGTAATTAACAGAGCCGCTCCGATCTAATGATTATAAAGTGATCGCCCGTCTCTGGTCACGGTGCCAGGCAGCTGCTTCCGGCCTAATATTGGGACGCGTTCCAAGAAAGAACTCCAATGGGGTATTATTTTAAAGGGCTGGAGTTTATGATGTTTATATTTTGCCTTCCCTGGTTCCTCTCTTTCCCTTCTTCAATATGCTGATGAGATTTATAAACAAAACCTTTCTCTTTTTTGTTGCATATCTTATTTTAGACCAAGTGACATCACCACTGGGTCTCTGTGCTTCTCTATGCAACGCTGGCAGATCATAGCTGGTGGGAGGGGCCAGCAAGGGAGGGGTACTTAGCTACATCACTTCATCCTGCCTCCCGCTAATGTCTCAGTCTATGAAGAGGGAGAGACCATCATGCATAGAATGCATGACACCTAGAGCCTTTACAACCACTTTAAGAGCCCTGAAGCATGCATGCAGTGGGAGGAGTTATGCAAATATCAAAATGCCTTAGTGGATGGATGTCACTCTGGAGGTGTGGGCAATTTTTTTAGGCCGGCCTTGGTAATGCCCGCATGTGATGCAGAGCCTCAATGATTGAACTGCAATCCAATGAATGAAAGGGGTGGGGCAGAGTGGGCTGTGAAGGAGAGAGATAGATGAAGCTGGATATTCTCCAGCCAGGAAATGAGGCAGAGCTCTCTCTGACTTGCTGCAGCTTCTAATGCACATTGTGAGACGCTCCCAGTGTGCAGTGACATCAGAGGAAGCCATTTCAGTCCAGGGGAGGAGCCGGTAACCTGTGCAAGACTGGAGGGGAGGAGCCAGTACACCGTGCAAGACTGAAGGGGAGGAGCCGGTACACCTGTGCAAGACTGAAGGGGAGGAGCCGCTACACCTGTGCAAGACTGAAGGGGAGGAGCCGGTACACCTGTGCAAGACTGAAGGGGAGGAGCCGGTACACCTGTGCAAGACTGAAGGGGAGGAGCCGCTACACCTGTGCAAGACTGAAGGGGAGGAGCCGGTACACCTGTGCAAGACTGAAGGGGAGGAGCCGGTACACCTGTGCAAGACTGAAGGGGAGGAGCCGATACACCTGTGCAAGACTGAAGGGGAGGAGCCGATACACCTGTGCAGGACTGAAGGGGAGGAGCCAGTACACCTGTGCAAGACTGAAGGGGAGGAGTCGGTACACCTGTGCAAGACTGAAGGGGAGAAGCTGGTACACCTGTGCAAAACTGGAGGGGAGGAGCCGGTACACCTGGGCAAGACTGAAGGGGAGGAGCCGGTACACCTGTGCAAGACTGAAGGGGAGGAGCCGGTACACCTGTGCAAGACTGAAGGGGAGGAGATGGTACAACTGTGTAAGAATGAATGGGAGGAGCCAGTACACATGTGTAAGACTAAATGGGAGGAGCGGTACAGCTGTGTAAGACTGAAGGGGAGCAGCCGGTACACCTGTGCAAGACTGAAGGGGAGGAGCCGGTACACCTGCACAAGACTGAAGGGGGGAGCCGGTACACCTGCACAAGACTGAAGGGGAGGAGCCAATACATCTGCACATGACTGAAGAGAACTGTCTGCGTACCTGCTGGGGAAATTTCCCCTCACTGTGGGGTCACCAGGACAGGAAGTGAGGGGAAATCTTTAAGAGGCGAAAAAAACTAACACCTTTCCAAAACTTATGCCGCAAGCTTCAGTGTACAGACCAACTCCCGGCCATTCAACTTACTTGCAGAAATGGCAATAGGGTTTGGTGGAGCTGCATTGTGTGCTATAGCTAGTAGGGGGATTTTTTTATCCTAAATTCTGCATTTTGTCAGCTGCTGGTAGTCCGTTTTGAATGCAACTTAGGCCTGGCGCTTCTCCTGAAAGCTCCATTTTCCCAAAGTGCGTGAGTCGGATTTTGTTTAATGACTTCACCTTATCAATATTTGATTGGCCGGCGAATGGGAAGCCATCTTGCGTTAATTATTTTCTCATGTTGTAGAAATTAAATGCATGGCGGTTTCCAGGCGCCTCCATCTATGAGCCGGGCCCATGATTTATTCAAGGATGAGTTTGCCTCCCATTACTGGAATGAGTTTCTGTCGCTCATTAGGGGCCAGAGGGGGCTGCGCGTCTTCGCTCCAGGCCTGGATCTAGCCTGTCTGATGTGGGGGTGCAGTAACAAATGTAAGGGGGTAGAGGACAGGGGTCACTGCTGGCAGGGAAGAGGACAGGGGTCACTGCTGGCAGGGAAGGACAGGGGTCACTGCTGGCAGGGAAGAGGACAGGGGTCACTGCTGGCAGGGAAGAGGACAGGGGTCACTGCTGGCAGGGAAGAGGACAGGGGTCACTGCTGGCAGGGAAGAGGACAGGGGTCAGTGCTGGCAGGGAAGAGGACAGGGGTCACTGCTGGCAGGGCAGAGGACAAGGGTCACTGCTGGCAGGGCAGAAGACAGGGGTCACTGCTGGCAGGGAAGAGGACTGGAGTCACTGCTGGCAGGGCAGAGGACAGGAGTCACTGCTGGCAGGGCAGAGGACAGGGGTCACTGCAGGCAGGGCAGAGGACAAGGGTCACTTCTGGAAAGGAAGAGGACAGGAATCACTGCTGGCAGGGCAGAGGACAGGGGTCACTTCTGGAAAGGAAGAGGACAGGAATCACTGCTGGCAGGGCAGAGACAGGGGTCACTTCTGGAAAGGAAGAGGACAGGAATCACTGCTGGCAGGGCAGAGTACAGGGGTTACTGCAGGCAGGGCAGAGGACAGGGGTCACTTCTGGAAAGGAAGAGGACAGGAATCACTGCTGGTAGGGAAGAGGACAGGGGTCACCCCCACACACTCACGCACATAACTGAGATAAGTACAGTGTCAGGCTAGGACTATATAATGTCAAACTAGGGCGGTAAAATATCGGATTAGAATAGTACAGTTGTTGTTCTGAGGCCTATGCTGACGTTTTTCAAAAGCTTCTATTTGATCAAAGTATGACATCATTGTCTCCTCCTAACACTAGATCCTATGTTTTGTTTCCAGGGAGTGATTCAAGACGCCAAGCTCATATTTATGCCAAACGGATACATAACACAATGCCCAAACCTGAACCGCAGTAAGTAGACATTAATATTTGTATTCTTGGTATCCTGGTTATTGGTGTGAAGCCATCAACGTTTTCATCATGGCGTTGTCTGTGTGTGTGTGCTTCCTCTGGATGTTGGGGTGTCCTCCGGCTGCCATGAAACACCTTCTCAGCTTCTCAGCTAGACTGTTGGTTCTGGGGGTAAGTCACCGGGTGGCCCCACCCCCTATGATGTCATGTGGTGCTGTCTATGGGTGATGTCATGAGGGCATGGTCACCCAGTGATGTCACTGGGTGACCCCGCCCCCATGTTTACTTAGCAGCGGGGGGGGGAGAAGCAGCTGTCAGTCGGCAAGTGTCCCTCGATGGGAGCTGACGTGTTCGAAAGGCAGCAAGATTTTTTTTTCTGTGTGGGTTGGCGGCCGGCGTTCATCATGATTGACGCTGGATTTACATGGGGGAAATGCTTATTTATTTACATCAGGGGGAGGCGGGACCTGGGGGCTTCTGGATTCCAATAAGCTAGGTTGGGGACGAGGCTTTTTCCTCATCAACATGGGGACAAGGTGCTTTGCCTGGGGAGTTCCCTCCCTCCCTCATAGTGAGGGCATATGGCTGGTTGTGGTTGGGGGGGGGGGGGAAGGTGTCGCTCACTTGTCCTCTCCACTTTCCTGGCCTGGCCTGCCGGCTGTATGCTTGGAATATGGGTTTAGTATACATTTTGGAGGAATCATGCCCATGCCAATTTTTTGGCATGGGTTCCCCCTTAAAGTCCCAATGGCTTGGTGTGAATCAGTGGGGGGACCAACACTTTTTTTTTTTTTTTTTTAATTCACACTCTGAGTGCCGGCTCCTCAAGAACCGATGACTCACCCCTGCTGCTGACAGTGGTTGCTAGGATGCTGGCGGGTGCGGGCTCCTAACAACCAGCACATGGTAAAAACACATGTGAAATCTGTGGACCACAAAATCGCACTGCACCGCACCAAAGTCGCACAGGACCCTTTTCAAAATCGCATTGCAGTTGCACTCCATATATGTGAATGGGCTACACAGAAACGTATCATGTGATTCCATGTTGTTGGATGCATCAGAAGTCGCATCAGTGTGAACCAGGGCTCAGTACAGAAACAAATGTACACTGATGGTGATATGCAATATTGTAAACAACACTCTTTAGATCTTTACATTCGTAGCACTTAAATTTAATTAAAAAAGAATCTAAATTTATATATATATATATATATATATATATATATATATATATATATATATTAAAATATATATATAAAAAACTCAATTTGTATGAACAAAATTTACTCCTATAAGAAAAAGACCCAAATGGCAGCTTTCTTTGTTTCCTTCTAACATTCTACATTTTTTATATACATCTGAAAGCTTTTTATAGGTAATGTCAGATATAACCGGACACAAAATTCTAAATCGGTTAGTCACCAATAGTGTCTATATGAGTATACCCACCAGACACTTTTTTATACCAACATCATCGCGCCAATGTACTTAAATCATAAATATACACAATAGGTGCTGCTATTAATAATAATACACTGTAAATAATAATAAACAATGTGATACCAAACAACCACAAATTATAGCGCAACCCTACACCAATAAATAATTGGATAAATAAAGATATAAATTCATATATCCACCACCAATTATGTGCAAATAAATAAAATAAAACAATACTAAATCATATCTAGGAAATCTGCATATAGTCCATTCAAAAAAGTCCATATATTAACCATTTCAATACCGGGCACTTTACCCCCTTCCTGCCCCCAGGCCAGTTTTCAGGTTTCAGCGCTCTCACACTTTGAATGACAATTGCGCGGTCATACAACATTGTACCCAAAGTAAAATTTTATCATTTTCTTCACACAACTAGAGCTTTCTTTTGGTGGTATGTAATCACCGCTGGGGTTTTTATTTTTTGCTAAATTAACAAAAAAAGACCCAAAATTTTAAAAAAAAACACACGTTTTTCTTTGTTTCTGTTATAAAAGTTTGCAAATAAATAATTGTTCTGCATAAATTTAGGCCGAGATGTATTCTGCTACATGTCTTTGGTGAAAATAACCCAAATTAGGATGTATTTTTTAGTTTGTGGGAAAGTTATAGAGTTCACAAACTATGGTATAGATCTGAATATTGATCAATCCTGAAGTACTGACGGCCAATCTAATTTCTTGAGGTCCAAGAATGTCAGAATAGTACAGATATCCCCAAATGACAGGATGGTACAGATATCCCCCAAATGTCAGGACGGTACAGATATCCCCCAAATGTCAGAACAGTACAGATATCCCCCAAATGTCAGAACGGTACAGATATCCCCCAAATGTCAGAACGGTACAGATATCCCCCAAATGTCAGAACGGTACAGATATCCCCCAAATGTCAGAACGCTACAGATATCCCCCAAATGTCAGGACGGTACAGATATCCCCCAAATGTCAGGACGGTACAGATATCCCCCAAATGTCAGGACGGTACAGATATCCCCCAAATGTCAGGACGGTACAGATATCCCCCAAATGTCAGGACAGGACAGATATCCCCCAAATGTCAGAACAGGACAGATATCCCCCAAATGTCAGAACAGTACAGATATCCCCCAAATGTCAGAACAGGACAGATATCCCCCAAATGTCAGGACAGTACAGATATCCCCCAAATGTCAGAACAGTACAGATATCCCCCAAATGTCAGAACAGGACAGATATCCCCCAAATGTCAGAACAGTACAGATATCTCCCAAATGTCAGGACAGAACAGATATCCCCCAAATGTCAGGACGGTACAGATATCACCCAAATGTCAGGACAGGACAGATATCCCCCCAAATGTCAGGACAGTACAAATATCCCCCAAAATGTCAGGACAGATATCCCCCCAAATGTCAGGACAGGACAGATATCCCCCCAAATGCCAGATCAGTACAGATACCCCCCAAATGTCAGGACAGTACAGATATCCCCCCAAATGTCAGGACAGGACAGATATCCCCCCAAATGCCAGATCAGTACAGATACCCCCCAAATGTCAGGACAGTACAGATATCCCCCAAATGTCAGGACAGTACAGATATCCCCCCAAATGTCAGGACAGTACAGATATCCCCCAAATGTCAGAACAGTACAGATATCCCCCAAATGTCAGGACGGTACAGATATCCCCCAAATGACCCCTTTTTGCAGAGTAGACAGTCCGACGTACTTCATAAGAGGCATGACAAGTTTTTTGAAGTTGTATTTTTTTTGTCATAAATTTTTCGGAAAATGAAAAAATTAAAAAAATTAGTTTCACTATTTTTTTTCTAACATACTGTCACCAGTGCAGTACAGCGTCATCATATAACTGGCATGGCGGTGATCAGGGACACTGACTGGTGACAGTATGAAAAAGATATCCCCCAAATGTCAGGACAGTACAGATATCCCCCAAATGTCAGGACATATATATATATATATATATATATATATATATTTTTTTTTTTTTTTTATTATTTTTTTATTACATTTTTTTAAATTTCTTTTTAAGATTTTTTTTCATATTTCACTATGACCAAAGTAGTACAATGTTACCATAGTAACATTGTACTA